TCAGGGATGGCGAACCAATGGCACGCGTGCCATTTATGGCACGCGACACAATATTTTGGGCACTCCACCGATCACAATTGTTATTACACAAATGTTATTACGCTAGGAAACAATTAAATTAAAATTCACAAAAAACAATTAAATTAAAATTCACAAAAAACAAAAATTAATAACCGTAAAAAACAAGCTAGCAATAAATAACTAGCAAAAAAAATCAACAGTCCTGCTTAAACTAACATCTTAGAACCTAATATAAGTTATTGGTCATCTTATCTGCAACACCAAAAGTCTCATTGATGTTACTTTAAGTTGAATTACTTGTATAATTGAGACATTGCAAAATGTTTTTTTTTTTCAATGTAAATAAAGAGTTTTGAGTTGATAGTTTTTAGTATTATTTTCCCAATAATCAAGAAGTCAAAATTATTTTACGGCACGTCTATGATCTCATTAAGCAATTTTTTAGAGAAAATGGCACGTTGGTGTATAAAGGTTCGCCACCCCTGGTCTAAGACAATTGAAACAGGACAGGAAAGCCTTTAACTCTTAAGATTTCAAAAGGTATATGTGCATTGTTAGATCTTTCAGAGAATGATAACTTAATTAATAGTTTTTACTTTTAGAATGATAGTTTATTATAGGGCTATCTTTTTAAACTTACAAAGAACTTGCTTGAATGACTTACTAAAAATAAGAGATTTCCCTAAGGAAAACTTCAGCCATGGTGAATCTTAACCTTTGAATTCTCATTATTTCAAAAATGAAAACTGATTCATAAAAGTACAGGAAATATGATCTTTTAAAATCGGCTCCATGTTTTGAATTGAACTGCGTAACTCTAAAAATATGATCTCTAACGATGTGCATTTTTCTGCAGTACAACAAATGTCGCCTGTAGTCTGCTTATACAAAGTCTTGGGATAAAACCTGTTAAAAGATCTTACAGTTTTGAGAGTTTGGACACCCTTTCTTTCACATTTAATTAAAATTGACAATTGTAACGTGGTAAAGATTCTTCATTTAATAAGAAATGGCCCTTATATATTGTTATGAAGTATTTTTTCCCTCAATACTGCAAATATTCCGTATTAAACTTCATTAGATGACACTATAATTAAATTTGAAGTCACATCACATTCCCCAACCATAGCGAAGCATAATCTGAAGCGCCCAGCACGTTAACCATTGGGTCACGAAGATAATTTTTTAATTTAAATTAAAGCATTTTCAGTAATCTTTTTACGTTATTTCTTTTCTGTAAATCATTTTCTTAATATATTATTCAAAACGAAATGCTTTCTCACACTTTTAAATTCACATCCTGTCCTTTAATCTATTTTTGGCTCAAGAATGCGTTAATTAAAAGTAAGACATTTTTCCCTTTGTTCTTTGTGGGAATCGCGCGACCTATTTGATAAACCAATTACAATTACTAAGATTTCCCTTATTCCCTAAAACGAGACATTTTACCGATTTACTTTGCAAGATTTTCCCTAGCTTTCATTGAGGAGCACAATGAATTCGTGTACAATTTTATTGCTGTTCTCACTCTAATTAATAAATAAATTTTATACCCTCTTTCCCTGCCTAAGACCTGTTTTTATCCTTCCACTCGGCAACGACGATATATATTACTTGTGAATGATTTTTTCCACTGGAAAGAAATTAAAATTACGTCAAAGTGATTTTTTTTAAATTATATTTGGAATATTAATTATATTTGGATTCAAATGGTATAAGCCTGAAACAATCTACCGTAGAATAGTTTTTTAAGAGAAAAAATTAATCTTAAAAAATTGTTAAGATTTGCATAAGATATATGATCTAAAACTCGTTATTTAACTATTTTTAGTGCTACGCCGAGACGACAATGAACGAAATCCTTGGTTGGTACGGTTTCGAGAAGGTGGATAGCAGAGATACTCAAGGTTTGAACCTCACCCACTTTGCTTCCAACAATTCTTCTGCAGCTGGTAACAACAGCTCAAACGGTGTGTCACCGCCTTCTTCGGCTATGGAAGGAAGTGATGCATCAGAGGATGTTCCATCTCATCCTGGTGGCTTAGACGAATCTTCCAGGCTGAGATCAGATAGTATGAGTCCCAATCCTGATGGTAAGTGATATACATTGTCAACTAGTTTTTTACATCTCAGAATAATTTGATCCTCCATTCTTAACTTATTTCTTACAACTAGTTGTAATTTGATTCTTCATTGTTAACTAATTTCGCATCTGAAATTAATTTGATCCCCCATTGTTGACTAATTTTTTATTCTCAGAGTTATTTGATCTTCCATTGTTAATTTAATTTTTACGCCTCAGTGGACTTTGATTATTCATTTTTAGCTAATTTTCGCACCTCAGAGTAATCTGATCCTCCATCTTTAACTTGTTTTTTTAAACCTCAGTACAATTTGAATTATTTCATTGCTGATTTGATCCTCCATTGCCTATATATAGCCTATTTATTTAACATATGAAAATAAGTCATGTCTTAAGTCATCTGACATTTAAGTGATTTTCACACGGGAAAAAAAAGCTTTTACTTTCTAATAATACAAATAATAGGGAAAGTAGTAAAAAAGTTATGATTGTCGAAGTTTATAAAAAAATTCTTATATAGTCGATAGCCATTTATAACTTAATTTTTTCAAAAGGCAAACCATTGAGCAAATTGATAGTCTTTCGTGAATAATAAACCACGTTTTTCTATAAAAAAAAATTTAAATCTTAATAATTTTTTCATAATTTTATTTGGCACGACAACACAGGGTGGGCTAAAATTTTCTACTAAAGATTCCTACAAGACTTCCAGACATTTATCCCAATCACTTTAAAATTTGATTCCACATAATAGAGCCATCGTTGTTTTGGCCTTGCCCGTTTTCGACTAGTGAACGGTTTTGGATAAAAAAATTTAGCCATTTTGGTAATATGAGAAGTTAAATTTATTCTCTTTACCCATGGTACTGCTCTGCGACCGACCATAGATTTTACGAGCACTTGTACCGCATGTACTCGGTGGGTCTTAGCGGAGTCGAGGACCGAACTCCAGTTCGTCTGGACCGGAGTCCGATTCTCTAATCATTGGGCTACCACGGCCCATGAAGAAATATAAAGCGGGCTCCAAAGACTACATGTCACGGAACAAACCCAATCTCGTGAAGGTCACGGCTGAACAAAATAAAAAAAAATTGGAATTTAGAGTAGCATTTCGATCATGTGAGACTTTTTAAAAGAATCTATAAGTCTTACCAAATACAGGTACTGCATTTAAAGAATCCATGACCATAGATGCATTTCCGCAATCATGAAATGATTTGAATTATTAAAATAACTGTCACAATGAAAAAAAAAATATTATTAAAATTCAAACGAACTTTTTAAATAATTAACGTAATAGGTTTGGAAGAAAAACGATCAAATTTTAAGCATATTCTTAAAAACAATCTCTGCAATTTTAATCTCAATTATATTTGCGTTCTTTTTCAGTCTTTTTGAAAATCATCTCACATAACCTGCAATTTTTTTTGAGAGGAAAAAATTCATAAATCATCCGCTAAGAAATTTAGAAAACAATATAAAAAATATTTCAACGGAAAAAAAAACATGTATTAAAAACAAAATCTCCGACGAATAATTTCATGAGGGGGCGTGTCTCATTCTTTTTGTTTTTGAAGTTCTCCGTCGAAAAGGTTCAACTTACCGAACATTAAAGTTCAATTTTTACCCTAGCATTCGTTTCGCTGGCTGTAATTAACTTAATTAGCAGGGGAAGGTGGACGTGAAGAGGTTGATTTCAGGGGGGGGGGAATACTTGCAAGACGCAGGGGGCGGGTATCATCTTCAATGTCTACTCTTACATACGTTTGTTGTTTAAAAGTGTAATTTTTTATCCTCTCTTAATATTTTGATTTTAGTTTTTACTTTTTTTCTTACAGTTTCTTCATTGTACACTTTCGGTATTATGTTTCGTAAGTTCAAAGAAATCAACATTTTCAGTAAAAACGTCCGGATAAACAAGATCGGTTTCTCACAATGTTAATTAAATTAGATTAATTTCGAAAGCGAGTAAATGACTAATGCAAAAAGAGAAAATTTCGTTTGAAGTTAATTAGGTTAGTTTAATTAAAATTCGTTCTTTTGTAATTCGGTTTTACGAACGACTTGTTTTGAATTTAAGTTTCTGATTGTTTGGAAATTCTCAAATGAAATGTAGACCTTCTGAGGTCCTAAAACCGCCGAGTTGAATAAACTTAAATTGCTTGCTGCCAACTTTAAACAACACCCAAGAATATAATGTAGAACTCTAAAACAATGTTTTTCATTCACCAGAAGTGTTAAGATCGTTCCAATTTGCATTGAATTTATTGGAACTATCTGTTAACTGTTAAGCTTTCTATCCGAAGTTTTTTATTTTAATATTTATTTTTTCATAATGTATCAAATATAGACCAAACGAAACTGTTCCAGAAAATAAATAAATAGTAATTATCATTATATTGTTATATTTTACAAAACGAATTAAGTCGGCCAATGTATGATATAATTTTTTTCCCTTCATTTTAGAATTTTTGCTTATTTAAAAATCCTTCCTCGATTTTCGGTGTCTTTTTCTCTCAGCCTTTTTTTTTAAAATTTTTTCATTTGTTTTTAAATTAATATTTTTATTATATTTACTGTCTAAAATACAGTACAACAATGATATTAAAAAAATACCCGTTACTTGATATATGCAGAGTAATTCGCGACAATAAGCAAATTTTATAAATCTTTTGCTTGAATATTGATAACAATCATATATATGGTCATATAATATGATCCTGGCCCAGACCAAAACACTTCTATCACCATAGAGATCAAACTTCTATAATGTTAGAAATTAAGTTTCTATTTTGTCGTGTAAACGCGTCCAGAATCATTGTTCAGATTGAATCGAAACTCATCAGTGAAAAGAATCTATAAGACAACAGTGCTTGTGCCCAAGGTAGATATATCTTTTCACTGTCCTGTGACTAAGACCTGATTTCCCATAAGTATAAAACTGAGATCTTAGAGACCTGTATAAAATTATTAAAGCATATTTATTAATATAGATTAAACCCGTTGAAAAGTATTTATAAATTTTAGATATATAAATACAGATTATTTTACAAATATAAAAATGTGAATATTTATATATTTGTTAATGATTTACAAATATATAAATATTCACCTCTTCTTAAGATACTGTATATTAATACAGCAACTTTTTTTTATTAATTTAAAATAATACAGGCTCTTAAAATTTCTTTAGAATTTGAGTAAAAAAATACATACTTTTTTTAATAATTTGCAACAAAAAAAGATCAATATTCGTGATTTATTCTCAGATTCAAACTATTTGCAAGTATTTTTTATTATGTTTTACTTAATTCATCTTATCTTAATTCATATTATTAATGCATTTTAATTGTCTGTTTGTGGGAAAATATTGCACTTAATACTTTCCGACTAGCAAGAGTACTCGAATTTTATCTAGAGTTCTGCGTTGGATTGGCAATACAAGTTTCATTTATTTACCACGGGCCTTTTTAGGATAAATATTGAGTCTGCAAAATTTTTTACCTTTAAAACGGACTCAACACAAAATATTTAACTATAAAAATGGATATTTACCGAAATATTTTATCAAAATATAGACCCTTCCCAAAACTTGTTTTTTTTGAAAAACGGAACCATTGATGTCTTTAATTCATAGTTTGAAAATTAAAAAAATCTTTGAAAGATATGGCTTTAATGTTTTATTTTTTCCCCACAGATTCATGACCTTATTTTCACAGATTCAAAAATTATAGTGGATTTTCGAAGATATCACAAAAATTTTGAAGCCGTACTTCTTACTATAAGTCTGAACTGATCACTGTTTTCAGTAATTTTCGCAAAATCATTTAAAAAAAAAAACTAATTTTCCAACCCCCCACCTTTTTTTTAAAAGTGTTTACTTCTTTTTATATTAAAGTTTTTCTATAACCGCTCGCAAACTATGATTGATGTATATGTCGCACATCTAAATTTACAGAAATTCGATTTTAAAGATTTAAAAGTACAGTCCGAAGAATGTTCCCTTTTTCTCATATTAATGTAAAACAAATTTACCAATCATANAAAAAAAAAAAAGAAAAAAGAAGAAAGATAAATATCTGATTTATTCTCGGATTCAAACTATTTTAAAATTTTTATTATGTTTTACTTAATTCATATTATTAATGCATTTTAATTGTCTGTTTGTGGGAAAATATTGCACGTAATACTTTCCGACTAGCAAGAGTGCTCGAATCTTATCTGGAGTTCTGTGTTGGATTGGCAATACAAGTTTCATTTATTTACCACGGGCCTTTTTAGGATAAATATTGGGTCTGCTAAGAGTCCCCTCGCAAAATATTTTATTATAAAAATGAAAATTTACCGAAATATTTTATCGAATAATGAATCCTTCCTAAAACTTTATTTATTTATTTTTTTGAAAAACGGAACCATTGATGTCTTTAATTCATAATTTGAAAATTAAAAAAATCCTTGAAAGGTTTTAAAGTTTTGTTCATGACCTTATTTTCACAGATTCACACATTATAGTAGATTTTCGAAGCTATCACAAAAATTTTGAAACCGTAACCTCTTACTATAAGTCTGAACTGATCACTGTTTTCAGTAATTTTCGCAAAATCAAGATCGTATTCACAAATTCACAAAATTATGAACATAATTTTCCAAATTTCACACAGATCTCAAACCTCTGGAATGAAAAAAAAAAAAAACAAACTCTGCTAACTCTACTATAAGAATTTTTTGCCATTTTACTGTCAAAGGGAATTTCGAACACTCCCCGACTAACTACAGTGCTCTTTCTGTCACCGACAAATTTACAGACACAAAACTAAGAATGAAGAAAATTATAAAAACACGTTATAGAAGTTAAAAGAAAAAACCTAATTTTCCAACCCCCCACCTTTTTTTAAAAGTGTTTACTTCTTTTTATATTAAAGTTTTTCTATAACCGCTCGCAAACTATGATTGATGTATATGTCGCACATCTAAATTTACAGAAATTCGATTTTAAAGATTTAAAAGTAC